TCAGAGGCTCTCTATGAACCTGAGATTATGGCCACTTTTAGACAGCAGTCAGTGGAAATTACTGCTAGCTTTAGGACTAGTACACAGGAAGGGGTGGCAGACTCTGTCCTTCTGGACATGGCACGGGCTTAGCAGACAGACACAGTGACCTTAGCGCATTTCTGTGTGTTCTTGAATTGCTTAATGTGTGAAAGTCAAAAGGGGAGGTCAGATCCCAACCCTAGTACACTGAGCCTATTTTTAGCACCCAGCCTCCAAGTATTATCCTTCTTACCTCTTAATTTTCTGGTCTAGCAGCAGGAGCTCCACGTGTGTAATTCTACCTGGACACCCTCTTGACTCATCTCCTATCTCATAGATTCTTGAATTGAAAGTTTTATAATTATAATATCCTTCTTTAAATCCGTGACAAATTTTAATATAGTCTATTCTGTCTGATATTAATATAGTCGTGTTAATTTTTGTTTAATTGCCATTTTCTTCTTTTTTTGACTTTTAAATCATTTTATTAGGGTCTCATACAACTCTTATCACAATCCATGCATACATCCATTGTGTAAAGCACATTTGTACATTCATTGCCCTCATAATTCTCAAAACATTTGCTCTCCACTTAAGCCCCTGGCATCAGCTCTTCATTTTTCCCCTCCCTCCCCACTCCCCCCTTCCTCATAAACCATTGATAATTTATAAATTATTATTTTGTCATATTTTGCCCTGTCCGACGTCTTCCTTCACTCACTTTTCTGTTGTCCATCCCCAAGAGTTGATTGCTATTTTCATAAAATATTTTACTCCCTTTAATTTCCAGCATACTTGTCTTTGCTTCAGAATTGTATTTCTAGTACTAGCAAATCAAGTTAGTGGGAAATTTTGGGGGGGAGGGTAAATACTTTTCCAGGTTTTATTGCAAACAAAAACTGGTTCATCATACACAAAAATAGTTGTGTGGTGGGGAAGGGAGGATTGTATATATTATATCCATGTTAATTACAGTACTTTAAAAATGGTGGATAACAATCCAAATAAGCCTCTAAGTTTAAATTTTCTAATGTTATAACCCAATGTGCAGACTATTTTTTAAAATATATATAACACATACAATGATCAGGAATAAACAACAACAACAACAAAATAACCCCATAAATAATGCCCATCTTACAGGTGACATTTTAAACAATGAAAACACCCACCTCTTCAACCGACAGATAGGCATTGGTTCATTAAAATCCCTTTCTGGAAAAAGAAATGTTAATAACAGCAATGCTTTCTGTAAGCATCTGAGTACAAGTCATCACAAGACCGTTTCCATAAATTTTTGTTCTTAAGTATTTATGTCTTACAAAAACGAAATGAAACAAAGCTTCCAAATATGGAAGAAAGAATGTCCCACGTTGTAGTGTCTTATAAGTGTCACATTGCTGCTTAGAACACAACCCACCTGTGAAAACGCACACCGCTCAACGTTGCCTCTCACACAGCAGATCCCAAGAGGAAAAATAAGGAACCAGAGCATGCTGTGATAGGAAAAGCTTTGGACCTAACATGATCTCATCAAAAAGGCACAGTTCATAGTCATCAGTGTCACAGCCCAGGCAGCCCTTCAGAAGAGCCTTCCTCTGAAGTACTTCCAGGGCTACCTGGCCAGGGGGCTCACCCTACTGCTTGTCTCAGAGAAAGAGCCATATTGGAATGAAGAGGGAGAGAGGGTGTAAACCTCTGTTCTCTGGAAGGAAGGTGTACTCTTCGAAAAAGCTTCCAGCAAAGTGTGTAGTGACAATCTCCCAGCTTCCAAAGATGTGGAAATTCTCCTTAAAGATGGTCTGTCAGCTGGGATCTCTACCAGGAAGCAAACTGAAACATTTAGTAACACAGAGAATCTTTCAGAAGTGACTGAGGGCTGCTCAGATGAAAAAGTCCATGCCGGTAGTGGTGCATCTGAGAAGCCCAGGAACACCTTGGCTGCCTCCTTAACACTGGCCGTAATGAGGAGACTTTTGGAGGACCTGCCAATGGAGTTGGGGACTGGCTCTTCACTGAACTGGGTTAAAAGGAGGTGAAATCTTCTTATTAATGAGATCATCCCAGTTAATTAGAGCAAAGAAAACTTGATTATTAATCTCCTTGAAGTCATGCTTTTTGCCCAGCCTCTTGGTCTTATCCTTCTGCAGAAAGCCTTCCAGGAGGTGTATCACAGAATTTGTGATATTTGCCTTCAACTGGAGGGGCTTGTTCAGAATGTTGTCATACATCTCAGCAGTGTTGCCGCTGTTAAAAGGAGGCAAGCCATACAGCATCTCGTGTAAAATAGCCCCCCAGCACCACCAGTCCATGTTCCTGTTGTAAGGTTATGCTTATGAAGCTAAGTGCTTATGAAGCACTTCCAGAGCCAGATATTCAGAGTTGCCACAGCAGGTGGATATCGCCCCGTTATGTTCAATGTTCTCCTTGCAGAGCCCAAAGCCAGTCAAGACAATGTAAGTCCAGCAGAATATTCTCTGGTTTTAAGTCTTTATAAACAATATTCAGAGAGTGCAGGTAGCCCAAGGCACTGGCTATCTCAGCAGCATAGAAATGAGCCCGTGGTTCCAGGAAACAGCACTCCCTCTGGAGATGGTAGAACAGCTCCCCACCATTGATGTAGTCCAGGACAAAATACAGCTTGTCATCGGTCTGGAAAGAGAAGCACGAGGAACGGGTGCTTAATGTTCTTCAGTAGAACATTCTGCTCTGACATAATGTACTACTCCTTCTTCTTTTTCAGGATTGCTTTCTTCTGCAAAACTCTGATGACATAGAATGCTTCTTCTGCCTGTGTCTCACTAGCAGAATATTGCCAAAATTTTCTTTCCCAGTGACTTTGAAAAGTGGAAGTCTGATTGTTTTGCATGAGGATAGGACGATGGGCCAAAGTTGATTTGCTGAGACGGACTGGGCAGAGGTGAAGGGTTGGCATTTATAAGCACTGGCTCCCGAGGTTGGGAAAATTTCAAATTAGACTGCACTTCAGGGCGTTTGCGAGCATAGTAGTTGGCACTCTTCTGAGCAAAGTTGTTTAGACCCATCCTCCTCTGTTTCATGAAAGCCAGTCTGCTAGGCAGGAAGGACTCACGCCTTTTTTGTGCCTCGGCCCAATTTTTGTGGTGGGGCCAGAGCAAAGACTCGAGTTAGGCTCGGGCCAGCTACCTCAGCATCTTCCCCATGGTCACTGGCTCTGGGCGTCCGGGAAAGCAGAGAGAACACTGACCGTTAGGTGGCAACTTTTATGCATTTTTCCAAGCTGTGCATTTAATTGGCGAGTTTAATTCACTTATAACTAAAGCAATTATTCAAATGAAGGACTTTCTCCTGCCTTGTTGTGTGTGTTATACTGTCATATGTTTTATTTCTCCAATACTACCTACTTTTGTGTTTAGTTTTCTTCTTGTAGTATGCCATATTGATTCCTATTTTTTAAAAGATATTTTCTTTGTGCTTAACGTGAGAATTGCATTTAATATCTTACATTTATAGCAGCCTGGTTGAAATTTATAGAAACCTAATTTCAGCAGCTCTGTTTTATACTACTTCTTCCTCCCTTTATGTTGTTGAAACACTTTCCATAATTGTACATGGTGTGCCCAATAAAATTTTTTCTATATTTTAGTTTTCTTTTAAATCATTTCAGACATAATAAATAAGGACAAATATACAATACAAAGGACCTTTATGTTTTTTCTGAAATTATATTTACTAAAAATTTTAGCTCTTGTGGAATTGTTTTAATTTTCTTCAACTTCAATGTGAACTTATATGAATCACTGACAGCATTGTACTTCAGGATAGATTTTGAAATGTCTTTTTTATGATGAATATGATGCCATTCCTCCTAAATCTATAGTTTTCAGCATAGCATGATTACCAGATTTGAAATGGCCAATACAGTCCCCAAAGTTATTATTGCATAATTTTGATTGAAAAATGATCACTGAGGGTGTGGTCAGTTCTAGGCTTCAAAATTATCTAAGGGCCATAGTCTTGGGGATTTCTGTAGTCTCTATCAGACCAATGTCTAATATTTTTTATGATTTTTAATTTCGTTCTACATTTTTTTTCTTCCACTTCTTTAGGACCTTCTGGATCCAGGACCCTAGAAGGGGGAGTCAGTTGTGGTAGCCTGGAACCATCTAGTTTGTTTAATCGCAGTCATTCATGAAGGCTGAGATTCACATGATCCTTTGGACTATTCATTTCAATGCACCATTGATTTTATTCACTCCTTTTTGCTTGTTTGTTTGTTTTCTACAGCCAGCAAGAGAAAAATAGTTGCATCTTATAAAGCCACTCACAGTATTTAATAACCCAGTAACTACTCACAAAACAACAGTGTATAACAACTGTGTGTTTTAAAATATATTGTGCCAATTGACCTAGATGTTACCTAAGATTTTGATCCTAAGCTCCCAAACCTCAGTGATTCCCTCGGGGTACTTAATTACATCTAAAAATTTGTTTTAATTATGTCCCCTCTACTTTACTCTCCCCCTTTATTCTTTGCCCCCTTTACTCTATCCATGATTATGTTTGCATTGCACAAAATATGAATCACAATACATAGATTATAACTGATATGAGAAAAGTGACTAAAAGATTCTATGAAGATAGTATGGAAAGAAACAGGGTCCTAAGGGTTCTGGGTAAAGCAGTCACCTTTAGAAGGAAGCAGGAAAAAAATCTAAAAGAGGTATGGCATTAAAAGCAGAGAAAAGAGTAGCAGGGCTGCCTTCCTAGAGAACTGGAGCTCGACCTCTAAGAGTAGAGGACACAAAAGAGGCTAAAGATGTCTCCAGAAGAAGAATAGAAAAGGCACACAAATAAAATAAAAGGAAACTGGTCTAGGAATAATGTGTAACAGGACTAAAAGTGCTTGGATACACCTACTACTACCTCTTAAAGACACCTGGGGATTGGAAACATTTTCTGGTTCCATCCAAGTAAAGGTCCTTTCTTATATTTCCTAGGTGAGGTGATCACTTACCAGTGGAACATACCAGAGAGATCTGGCCCTGGACCCAATGACTCTGCATGTGTCTCCTGGATTTATTATTCTGCAGTAAATCCCATAAAGGTAAAAACAAAATATGATGCCTGTAGGTACATGTCAGAGATAGGAAAATTTCCTGACAAGAAGTTACTAAACAGGTATAATTAAACCTATCCTCGAGAGACTGAGTGCAGGGTTTGGGGGGAAATCATCATATTTATTTAAATAGTCAAAAGAAGGGTTCAGGAAGTGACTCTAGATATTTCTGTACTGAGGATTCTCTTCCTTGTTGCTATTGCTTGGATCCCCTAAGGCAATATAATCTCATATATAAAAAGCCTTAGATTGACTGTTAGGAGGTTAAGGTTATAGTCTCTAATTGTTTCTATCTTGCATTTCTAATGACTTCAGACAAGTCAACCAGCATGTTTCCTTATCTGAAATGGGTTATCTACCTAGCCATTCATTCAGCAATAACTTATTAAATACTATAGTTTAAGCATTTTTCTTGGTGCTTTGAAGAATTCAAATGTAAGATGTAATTCCCACCTTCAAAGAATTTGGTCTAGTTAAAAGAGATAGATAAATATAACAAAATGTTAGTAATTCTATAAAGCTATAATAAAAGTGCTATGGTGCACGAATACTTTGCTCTAATAACCTAGCATTCTGTGATGATCACCTTTCTATCACAATCGCTGAAGAAAAATAATAAGCAAATGTGGTGAATAAAGCTGATGGTTCCCAGTTATTAAAAGATATAGCATTTGGTGTCTTAAAGGCTTGACGTTAAACCAAGTGGTCATCTAGCAGGGAAGCAAAAAAGCCCACATTGAAGAAGCACACCAGCCTGTGTGATCATGAGGTGTCAACGGTATCAGGTATCAGGCATCAGAAGAACCCAAAACAAACAATTATATCAATGAGAATGAGGGGGGTTGGAGTGAAGACCAAAACCCATCTGTAGACAGTTAGATATCACCTCACAGAAGGGTCACAAGGAAGTTACAAGCCAGCCAGTGTGCAGTATAGCACCGATGAAACACACAACATTCCTCTAGTTCTTTAATGCTTCCTTCCTCCGCCCCTCCACTTTCACGAACTCAGATATATCTTACAAATCTAGTTAGACCGGAGCATGTACACTGGTACAGATGAGAGCTCTCGACACACTGAATCTAGGACAGATAAACCCCTCAGGAACAGTAATGGGAGTAGTGATACGATGAAGGTAAAGGGAAGGTGGGGGGAAAGGGAGGAGAAAGGGGGAACCAATCGTAATGATCGACATATACCCCACCAGGGGGACAAACAACAGAAACGTGGGTGAAGGAAGACAGCGGATGGTGTAACATATGAAAATAATAATAATTTATAATTTATCAGGATTCATGATGGTGTAAGGGTTGGGGAGGGAGGTTAAAATAAAGAGTTGATACCAAGGGTTCAAATAGAAAGAAAATATTTTGAAAATGATGATGGCAACGTATGTACAAATGTGCTTGATATAATTGATGCATGGTACAATTGATGTTGTTATGAGCTGTAAGAGCCCCCAATAAAATTATTTATATATATAATAATAGATATCTATATATAATATATATATAATAGATATCTGGGATTTGTACAAAGATTTAAAAATAAATATAATGGAAACAAAATTGTTATGGAAGTCAATGGGAGAGCCATTATTTCTGGTCAGTGGAAAGGATTAGAGTAGGAAAGTTGGAGGAGGCATCAAAATGCAAGGTACATGTACTCTGAGTCTTGAAAGCTGAATCTAAATGTGACAGGCAGATAAGGGCTATGATGGACAGGAAAGAATTACAGCCAGAGGAAACAGGGTAGAAAAAGGCTGTGGAAATACTTGGTGTGTTTAGACAGCAATGAATACCTACCTAAATCATAGGTGAGATTACAGCTTATATCTGTCCCAAGATAGTTGTGAAAATGAATTCACATTATATACTATAGCTTCTAGGAGTCCCTGAGTGGTGCAAATGGTTAACACATTAATTAAATATTTTGAGATTCGAGTCCACCTAGATACTCCTCAGAAGAAAGGTCTGGCAATTGGATCTTAAAAATCAGCCATTGCACCTCATCAGACTTGATCAGGAAACGTACATAAGGGTCAGCAGACAGACCTGGAACTACCCATTCTTTTTCTTGTTTTGTTTTGCTTTTGATTTCCTTTTGCCCTATATCTATATATATATATATATATA